CCACTTTTTCTGTTTTCTTCGGCGCAAAACCTCACTGTGACTCAGTAAATATGAACACATGCAACTTCACTGTTTACCGCCAAAAAATGAGTCTCAAAACCTTAGTAAATATCCCCCTAAGAGTCACACTAGTAACTCTGCAAGGCTTAGACAGGGACCTAAATGCTAATGTTAGGTATAAGATCAGGCGTATCCTGACAAGAATATAATGAGCTTTTCTCAGGTGTTTGGTCACAAGTATTAGACAAATTAAAACTGACCTGATGATTGCACTATAGGAACATTTTAGGGTTCTTCAAAGTTACAACAAATCATCCTTATGAGGACATGAATACATATTCAAAATTTCATGGCAAAGAATCCAACAGATGTAGAGATACAGTATTGTAGTTCGGACCAGAGTGGTGGACCGACCAGTTGACTGACTAATGTGGCTAAAAACAAGTAGCTTCCAAACGTTTAGTTGTTCTATTTTGTCTTTTTAAGTTTGATTATTATGTGTGGGATGCCTGTGCATATTCTATCAGCATGGGCAAACATAGCACTACTTTAGCATTTATAAAATTATTCTGTATAAAAACTACACCACAGCAAATTCTGATCCAACACATCCCTTATTATCCACTGTCATCCTCTGTGAATAACTGCTTTTAATTTTATTTAGCCAAGTGTTGGCATGCCTTTATACAACACCTGATGATTACAGATGTTAATAAGAGTGTGAGAATGCTATTAACCACGTTTGCATGCATTTTAATTTCAGAGAGGAAGAATAAAGGAGACCGACAAGAGGATACAAACAGGAGAGAAAGGGAGAATCCACGTGGGCGAGGACGAGAAAGCAAAGATGGCAGCAGAGGAGGAGGAGGGGGTGGGGGTGGGGGGAAGAGGAGAAAAGGCCAGAGCAGGACAACCACTGCCCCCAGCATTATAACCAGCTCTGTCACCTAAACAAATACCTGCTGGAGTGGGGCTGAGAGAAAACCAGACAAAGCCTCGTCCAGCAGCACCAACCACAAACAATAATCAAAGTGAAGAAGCAATGGATAAATGCTGCTATGCACGGTAGAAGATGCAAAGAGAACTGGAGGACGGCTGCAACTCAAAAGGCTTTCCAGAGCTTTTTGGATAGAAGAATATATCTTGGAGAGACTGGGGTCTCTGGTACACTGCAAGACTTGTTGAGTTTCATTCTATTGTGAGAGATCACTGTTGGACAGCAAAGTCATGGTGAAGATTGCGATTGAGTATGGTTCATGTCATGAAACGACCTATGTCACTTCTTGAACTAAGAACATCCTGTGCTTCCAAGCGCAGCATTCAAGCTGGAAGTCTGATAATGACTGAAGAGTCTCTTCCTGTGGTCTATGATGCATTTTGTTCCATCACAATCTGCTTTTCATTTGTTTTTGTGTTTGTGAGAGGTGGCAGATGGATTTTCTCAACAGTCCCTGAACGTGATGTACCTTTATTTCCTGTTGTGAGATGAAACATAAAGAAAGGCACTGGAAGTCATTTGTGGTTGCTGAGGACAAGTCTTCTGTGTAATATTTTAAGGAGGGAATCTATTACAAAACAAGCCTAAGAGAAGATGTAGAAGGGGGTTACTGGGAGCTAGGTTTCTATCCTTCTTCAGTATCTTGACACAAACTATTGCCATTTGATCGCTTACTTTGTTCTGAATTCAGTGTTGGTGTTTGTATCAGAAAATAACGCTGCACAGAAAATGATGAATAAAAACACAAGTATTTGCTTGTGTACAAGGTTGCATGTGCGTACATTTTGGCATTGTGAGGACATTTTAGCACAACTTCAAAGGGCTTTTGAGGGTTAAGACTTGGCTTCAGGTTAGAATTAGGTTTAGGTTCGGGTTAGGTTATGTGTTTAGTTGTGATGGTTAAGATTAGGGTAATGGGCTAGGGAATGCATTGTATCAATGAGTGTCCTCACAACTATAGCAAGACAGGACTGTGTGTGGGAGTGTTTGTATCTACAGTCTAGGTTTTGTGTATTTTGTATGCATTTCTGCAAGAAATCAAGTTGTTTGTCTGCAGAACTTAGCTGTTTGTGCATGTGTGTATACATATGCACATGCGTTGACATCGGTCTCATAGAGTGAAGGGGCAGGATCCGGTATACATGAGGAACAAAATATAAATGCACAGTAATATATCAAATATGCAGTAACTACAAGCCACCGATTATATGTAAACCATCAAATCATCAGCTGCTCAGTAAACATGTACATTTGCAACAGGGTTTGAAGATTTTGCACAACTGTAATGTTTCCTACTGCTCAAGTTTCAGAACAGTCATAGCATTTTATACATTTATATTCAAAAAGCTGGCTTCATGATGTCAATACAGAGAAACGTTTTCCTATGGGTCAGGTTGCTTTACACAAGATACCCGTTTCAAGAGAAGTTACACACTACATTATTCATTCATACTATGGATTGTCATACTGAATATGTCAAACTGTGTTTATTATCAAACATACGTAAGTATGAGCATCATCATGTATAGCTTATTCTGTGAAAGCTTAAATAAAATTCTAATCAAGCTGATGAAACTTCGGTCATACTGATTTTGCTATTGGTCTCTGATTTAGGTTTCAGATACATTTTTTTTGTAATTGATCTACCTCTTCAGTTCTGTAATTCCATTATGATGTTCACAGTACTACATGTATGTAAATACTATACAACATACATGCATGATGGTTTTTACACATAGGAACAGGAAGGACAAAGACTTGACTATGAGGTAAAGTTAAAATGTAAGTTAGCTTTTGTTTGTTTATTTCAACTTAGGTCATCTTTTCATAGTACTGACCATTATTTATATTTGTTAGAGACACACTGAACGTAATTGAGTTAATTGCTGAGAGTGGGAACCCCAGTGAGTCCCATGAGGCAAGAAACACAAGCTGTTTTGCTCACACAATTCTGAAGAAACAAAGGCGACTGTAAAATTACAACCCAAACTATCCATTTTAAACATCCCTCACAGTTTACAGACAATCTTTGTGGTTCAACTTTGACCTCCCAAACTAACTGGAGTATAGTCATACACAGTTTCCTGTGCTGTGCCTACCACATTTCAGTTGGGGTTATATTTGTTTTTACTTCCAAATAAAGTGGTAGAAGGTCTAACTAAACTGTTGATATATTCATTGCTCTTGACTGCTTGTGTTTCTGCCCTGTCAGACTTTCTCTGCAATTACTTTGGTGAATTTAATTACATAGCATTTTAGAAATGATGTCCAAAACAAGAAAAATACAACCGTTATCACAATAACAGTAATCCTTCATTTTACATATGAAGCAAATACATGACAGAAGGCCAGTCTTGGGCAATGGGGAGTGTACTGACAATTTTCTGATTGTTTCTCACAATAGACATGCCTTCAAACTTTTATAAGGAAAGTTTGCACTATTAAAAGTATCTTTGTTCTCTGATCTAAATGTAATCAAAATCTCACAGAATGGGCAAACAGATCTGCTGCCAGTCAAGACAGTATGGTATGGCCTTCCCCAGGTTACAGGAGGCCATCTTGGGAAGTGGATGAGCTTAGATGGTGTGATGTCACAGGCCAAATGCTGGCGCCTGGGCAGGGGTCGTAAAAGCAGAGACAGAAATAAAAACTAATGGTGTGTCATAGCCAGAAGGGAGGGGGTATACCATGCCCTGGCCCTACAACAAAACAGCCGTTTCTCATTACCAAAGGGGCGGGCAGGGGGAATGGTAGAGTATGCACCGTAAATTACACATGCATCGTTCATCCTGACCATAAATTCTTACCCTGGCTCCAGTGGATGAAGCTTTCCCTCACCCCCCACTCTCTCATTTCACTTTCTTGTTCCCCATTCTCATGTTTTCCAAGATAAATGAATGGCAAATCTTTGTAGTATATAAGTGCCCTTGATTTGCCAAGACCCTTAACAATGATTTCATTACTTTGTTCTGGCTTTTAGGTCAGGCCCCAGGGAGTGCATCATGCCAACAGGGAACACCCATGTCCATGCTTGACTTCAACACACAATCCCTGATCCAAATGTAAACAAAAGGGTACCACCACTGTACCAAAATTTTGAATGTGAATCTGACATCACTCTCAAATTGACTGACCTGACTTTGATTACAAAGATCACCACTTGAATACAACTAAATCTAATGTGTTAGTGTTTTCTAATGTTGTTTATGATTTGTTTGACAAACTAATCAACTAAAGAGGGTCACCTTTTGTACATCACACAGTCTTGTGTGATAAGAGCTGGCACAGGTGTTATCATGTGATCTAAATGTGGAACACTGAAGATCATCATCACATTTTGCACATGTATGCTCCAAAAGCTGGTTTGTTCAGTAATGCTTTAAGATAGTAAACTATATAAAAAAGTCTTATATTTTCAATTATGATTATTAAATGTACACGCACACAACAAATGCTCATTTAGTTCAGTACTTTTGAAAACTTTAGCTGCAACTTTGTTTCCCAAAAATGATGTACTGCTTCTTTGGGATAAACCACAGACCCCACTGTAAAGTTTTTTTGTGAAACTATAAGGACCATAAAACAAATTCTAATCACTTTCACTGACCTGTATTGAGACACCAGTAGATCTGTCACCAGTAGATCTGTGGGTTGGTAAACAACCCACAAAGGCATGAGTAGAAGACTGCTGCTTTGGGTGACCTGATCATGTTAACTCATTATTACAGCAATGTCTTGTCCCAAATACCTGTGAAAACCCTGTTAGATTGCAACGATAATTTTACTTTGTCATGTTTTTTTAGTTACATTATAATGCACAACATTAGTGACATAATTTTTGCACAAAGCTGCCTAAGATAGCCTGTCATCAGCTGGATGGATAAGAGATTTGGGGTAAATGAGGCCACTGGAGTGACTAGTGATTGCTAGCAGCATCTACTGGACTCTTCCACCACAAGTTATTTGCTTCTAGCTCTTTAAAATTAGTCTTTGGCAATGCACTGTCAGCAATCCCATGGATGCATGGTAATTTCCATCTAAAGCTCTGCAACCATCCACTCTATGGATCAAGATCTGAGAGGCTGAATCTGGAAATTTCCAAAGAAAAATGTCCTCTTCTATTCGGTAATATTCCAAACATCAGCACTGACAGCCCGGCATGTTTGATCAGGAACAGATATCCATAAAAACACAGCAGCTAAATCAAAATAATAAAACTATTTTATGTTTTATGGAAGCCAACATGCTTTGTGAGAAAGACAACTCTACATCTGATCATAGTTAAAAGACATAAATCATTTAAAATGGTGATAAGAATTGAGGCATGAGGGTGATGTAGTGAGTACTTGAACCTTTATGTTTTTAAAATGGTCCAAATCAATGCCGGATTCTTGAACATCCTTCAGAAAGTCACTGAGTTTCAGCAGTATCATCTGTAGGCCTTGTAGCTGACGCCATGCTATGACCCTAAGAAGCAAGGAAAAGTAGGATTTCCCAGGGAGAATCAACAGTGTGTCAAACAGCTTTATAATAAGCTAGTGGAAAACCCAAGAAATGCATGGGACAAGCAGAAAACCTACTGAGGTTTAGCTACTATTTGCAACCCAAACATTTCTTAGGCTGGCAAAGGTTAAAAACTCCTGACCGAAGAGAGAAGAATTTCAGAAAATGCTTATAGGCTGGTAGATACAGTGCTATATTTAATATGTGCTGCCCCCTTTTGGAAATAGTGCTACATGGGAAGAAAGCTGGAATGCCTTTGATTGTACAGTGTGTGTAATTCAGTGTGCATTTATATGCAGAAGGAGAGGAAAAGAAAGTTTGTGCATTGAAAACTTTGTTGCTTTTAACATACTGAAATGTACATTAATCAGTATAATATGCTGTGCTAATACTACGCTTGTGCTGTGCATTTAGTCTGTGCAAATGGGTTCAACTTTTCTGTAGAACTAGGAGAAATCAAGATACAGTATTAAACTACCATAATTAAAATTTCACGTTTAAGTTTTAAAATATCATTCTGAATTCTGCTGGGGCTCTGTGGTGCTGAATGGAAAACACTTATCTCAAAAGTAATTGGCAGCTGAATGTGAATTGACTGAGTATTCTATGAATAAACACTAACAATAAATATCAATGTTATGTAGGATATTAAACAATTTAACAACTGTGTGGTACTTTGACTTTGGATAAATTTAATATAATGAATTTATTTTAATTATACAAGCATGTTGCAGGTTATGGTTTTGTGGTACACATACTGTTTAGTGGCAAACAACTGCAATGAATGAACATAACCACAAGAGGGGCCTATGAACACATAAACAACCTATCCCACAGACTAGCCATTCCTATGGAAAGACAGCCATCATCATCTGAAATTGAGGCTTGTTGTGCTGTATTATTCATGAAATTAGCACTAAATGTCATGGGCAATTTGTCATAATAAAAAAGCTTTCTTTTCCAGAGGTTTGTCAAAAGAGTCTGGAAAGTTTTGGCCATGAAAAGAAAGTTGCAAAACCACAAGAAATAAAAAATCAATCACAGAAAACAGTTCTTTTGCCTTCATGCTTTTCCAGCTGTGCACAGAGACAACTGGCTTCTCCTTCTACATTCAGTATATCCTTGTTGAACTGCTGATGATGTGTCCTTGACCTTCCATCTACACATTCCTTTAAAAGTCCACTGGGGTGATTCATTGCAATTATAAAGACAGTCTAGACAATTATATATGACATCTAGTCACCTACTGCTGATTATAAATTTCACAACATTTACAATATTCACAAACTGGACTCTTGGCATCTGATACATCATTTCAATAATTTGTCTGTTGGTCACTATCCAAA